AGTTTGTGTTTGTCAATAGATCCCACTATATAAACAGGGTGATGATCTACTTTGTCTACTATATTATTTACACCAGTTTGTGTTTGTCAATAGATCCCACTATATAAACAGGGTGATGATCTACTTTGTCTACTATATTATTTACACCAGTTTGTGTTTGTCAATAGATCCCACTATATAAACAGGGTGAGGATCTACTTTGTCTACTATATTATTTACATCAGTTTGTGTTTGTCAATAGATCCCACTTGGAGAAGGCCCTTAAGGATTCCCAGGAGCAGGTCACAGATCTGAGACGGAGGTTACAGGAGGTGGGTGTGACAATGTATCAGAGACACAAAGCTCTGTCCACTTTATGTCGTTATGGTAAAGAGGCTTTCATCAGACACAGACTGACTCACGGGTCATGGCCTGAAGTTTATTGTGGTCATCAGTGTAGAAATAAATCACTTGTAGCTTTTGAATATTATTTTTTTTAATTAAAGTAGTAAAAGTACACTAATTTTTTACTCAGTGCTATTTAACATGTTTTTTGGGTTCAAGGGCTTTAAGACAATCCTGCATTAATTGGTTAGCAGTGGAAACCTCTTGGACTGGTGGAGTGTCAAATACTGAAATTTAGTTTTATGGCCAATTATATTTATACAGAGGTATGGTCCTTTGTTCACTGGGTGTTAATTTGTCTAGGTTGCATCTCATATACTCAGTCGCCTACAAATGCAAAACTTTGTACATTGTATGTAATTGCCTCGTGAAAGTGTTGCATATGAAAGTTTCCTGCCCCGTTATATACAGAGTTACTGCCCTTTGTTCACAAGACATCTTTTTGTCCTGTGTATATCAATTGTCACCCACTAAAGTCAGGTCTCATTCCCAACATTATAAAGTTATTGTCATTTGTTATTTGTTTATCAAGAACTGGGGGACTAGCGGTTGCTCATCATACTTTGAATTGTTCATATTCATCTCACAAGGAACTTGGGAAACTTTTGAATAGTCCATGTTATTGTAACAAGCTGATACATTGTTAGTGGTGTATCTTGTACTTGTATTTGTTTATAGTTAACACCTGCTGAAGAATTTGTACAAATCCAATATCCGCGACTTGCTCGACTTCAACAAACTTTGCAGGACTATTACCTAGAGGTCTGATTGTCAGCTGTGATGTAAAGATACTGACAGCAAAATAGTCTTATTGATAATGTTAATCATAACATGAAGTAGAACAGTTTGCCATGTTGGTTGATTTTGTGAATGTCTGCATGAGTTTAACAAATTTAACGGTTTTGAATTCTGCTGACTTGATTTAATTCCTTGTTTGGCATATGACATCTGGAGTAATGTAACATGATAGTTGTTATCTATAGTGCTGTTTGTCTAGATACTGACATTGCATGTCTTTAACAACTCATGACATTGTGAAAAATTGTCAGCAATGTGATGGAAACTATGTTATAAAATTGTGACATTGTATTTTATGCATTGAAAGAACAGATGTATACTCAATCCAATTAAAACATTACAATAAAGAGTTAAATTTACAATAAACATTGGAGTGAGTTTTTGGAAGTAGAACAGTAAAACAAACTAGGAACATGGTACATATACTAAACTGTTTAAAAAATGCACGGGGATAACACTCTTTTTTGTGTGGTTGACAGCCGATAGTTCAAGATCAACTTAAGACTTAATTGATAATAATGTTGAGGATACCTCAATACGTTTTATCCTACACACAATTACGTATTGTTTGTAAAGAGAATATTTGTGTTTCTAATACTGACTAATAAACAAAAACAGACTGCAACATCAGTTAGTTTATTATAACATATTAAAAACGAAATAAAAGTTGAACTAAAGTTCTATGAGTTGTAAATATTTTATTATATTGAAGTGTAGAAGAGGTTTATTTCTAAAACGTAAACATAATTGATAACTACGAACTTAAAAAATCACAGATTTAACTTCCTGTAAAATTTGATATTAAAGAGAACCTATTTCATACCTTTTTGTGGCTTCACAGAGAATGCCGAATTGCTTTATTCTTTGGAGATATTTTTTTCTCAGATTATTTCATCTTTATAAAGAGTGTTCTGAGCATTGACTTTCTGCAACTGAAATGAAACTATATTAAAAATTATTCCTTCTCAGAATTTTATATTGATATCATACATATTGTGTTTTCAGGCAAATGACCAATCAGAGTTACAGAAAAGGCAGTTCCGTAGTAATATAGAGGAGCTGAAGGGGAAACTCCACGAGACAGTGACAAACAGAGAGGCTGTCCTAGACTTACGGTATCACTGGTCATTTACCCCCACCAATATAAACACCACGAGACAGTGACAAACAGAGAGTCCGTCCTAGACTTACGGTATGACTGGTCATTTACACCCACTAATATAAACCCCACGAGACAGTGACAAACACAGAGGCTGTCCTAGACTTACAGTATGACTGGTCATTTACACCCACTAATATAACCTCCACGAGACAGTGACAAACACAGAGGCTGTCCTAGACTTACGGTATGGCAGTGACAAACACAGAGGCTGTCCTAGACTTACAGTATGACTGGTCATTTACACCCACTAATATAAACTCCACGAGACAGTGACAAACACAGAGGCTGTCCTAGACTTACAGTATGACTGGTCATTTACACCCACCAATATAAACACCACGAGACAGTTACAAACAGAGAGGCTGTCCTAGACTTACGGTATGGCTGGTCAATTACACCCACCAATATAAACACCACGAGACAGTGACAAACAGAGAGGCTGTCCTAGACTTACGGTATGGCTGGTCAATTACACCCACCAATATAAACACCACGAGACAGTGACAAACAGAGAGGCTGTCCTAGACTTACGGTATGGCTGGTCAATTACACCCACCAATATAAACACCACGAGACAGTGACAAACAGAGGGGCTCTCCAAGACTTATGGTATGGCTGGGCAATTACACCCACCAATATAAACACCACGAGACAGTGACAAACAGAGAGGCTGTCCTAGACTTACGGTATGACTGGTCATTTACACCCACTAATATAAACACCACGAGACAGTGACAAACAGAGAGGCTCTCCAAGACTTACGGTATGACTGGTCATTTACACCCACTAATATAAACACCACGAGACAGTGACAAACAGAGAGGCTCTCCAAGACTTACGGTATGACTGGTCATTTACACCCACTAATATAAACACCACGAGACAGTGACAAACAGAGAGGCTCTCCAAGACTTACGGTATGACTGGTCATTTACACCCACTAATATAAACACCACGAGACAGTGACAAACAGAGAGGCTCTCCAAGACTTACGGTATGACTGGTCATTTACACCCACTAATATAAACACCACGAGACAGTGACAAACAGAGAGGCTCTCCAAGACTTACGGTATGACTGGTCATTTACACCCACTAATATAAACACCACGAGACAGTGACAAACAGAGGGGCTCTCCAAGACTTACGGTATGGCTGGTCAATTACACCCACCAATATAAACACCACGAGACAGTGACAAACAGAGGGGCTCTCCAAGACTTATGGTATGGCTGGTCAATTACACCCACCAATATAAACACCACGAGACAGTGACAAACAGAGAGGCTGTCCTAGACTTACGGTATGACTGGTCATTTACACCCACTAATATAAACACCACGAGACAGTGACAAACAGAGAGGCTCTCCAAGACTTACGGTATGACTGGTCATTTACACCCACTAATATAAACACCACGAGACAGTGACAAACAGAGGGGCTCTCCAAGACTTACGGTATGGCTGGTCAATTACACCCACCAATATAAACACCACGAGACAGTGACAAACAGAGAGGCTGTCCTAGACTTACGGTATGACTGGTCATTTACACCCACTAATATAAACACCACGAGACAGTGACAAACAGAGAGGCTCTCCAAGACTTACGGTATGACTGGTCATTTACACCCACTAATATAAACACCACGAGACAGTGACAAACAGAGGGGCTCTCCAAGACTTACGGTATGGCTGGTCAATTACACCCACCAATATAAACACCACGAGACAGTGACAAACAGAGAGGCTGTCCTAGACTTACGGTATGACTGGTCATTTACACCCACTAATATAAACACCACGAGACAGTGACAAACAGAGAGGCTCTCCAAGACTTACGGTATGACTGGTCATTTACACCCACTAATATAAACACCACGAGACAGTGACAAACAGAGGGGCTCTCCAAGACTTACGGTATGGCTGGTCAATTACACCCACCAATATAAACACCACGAGACAGTGACAAACAGAGAGGCTGTCCTAGACTTACGGTATGACTGGTCATTTACACCCACTAATATAAACACCACGAGACAGTGACAAACAGAGAGGCTCTCCAAGACTTACGGTATGACTGGTCATTTACACCCACTAATATAAACACCACGAGACAGTGACAAACAGAGGGGCTCTCCAAGACTTACGGTATGGCTGGTCAATTACACCCACCAATATAAACACCACGAGACAGTGACAAACAGAGAGGCTGTCCTAGACTTACGGTATGACTGGTCATTTACACCCACTAATATAAACACCACGAGACAGTGACAAACAGAGAGGCTCTCCAAGACTTACGGTATGACTGGTCATTTACACCCACTAATATAAACACCACGAGACAGTGACAAACAGAGGGGCTCTCCAAGACTTACGGTATGGCTGGTCAATTACACCCACCAATATAAACACCACGAGACAGTGACAAACAGAGAGGCTGTCCTAGACTTACGGTATGACTGGTCATTTACACCCACTAATATAAACACCACGAGACAGTGACAAACAGAGAGGCTGTCCTAGACTTACGGTATGGCTGGTCATTTACACCCACCAATATAAACACCATGAGACCGTGACAAACAGAGAGGATGTCCTAGACTTACGGTATGACTGGTCATTAACACCCACTAATATAAACACCACGAGACAGTGACAAACAGAGAGGCTGTCCTAGACTTACGGTATGGCTGGTCATTTACACCCACCAATATAAACACCATGAGACCGTGACAAACAGAGAGGATGTCCTAGACTTACGGTATGACTGGTCATTAACACCCACTCATATAAACACCACGAGACAGTGACAAACAGAGAGGCTGTCCTAGACTTACGGTATGGCTCGTCATTAACACCCACTCATATAAACACCATTAGAAAAGGCTTAATTGCAGTGATGTTGTTGAGGATTGGTACTTGTTTAAAGTTTCTGAATTTTTTAATTTGATAGAATGTATAAAGTGCAGTTTTCCACATGCAACTCATGTGTTTAAATGTTCATGCTGTGTATTTCTAGTTAGTTGACAGTAGAACAGGTTTTAGTTGTAGAGATCTAATGATTACCTAAGTAATTGTGTTGTACTACCCTAATACTTAAGTTTGGCACCACATTTGCAGTGAAACATGTAGTCTTTCCCTTATGTTGTCCATTTCACATCCAGCCACATTTGAAAGTTTTTAAAGTGACATGTTACCATATTAAAGCTTTAAAAGATGCAGGTACCATCTTATATGCTCATTGTTGTCCATCAACTTTGACTTGAAACCATGGAGTTAGCGAAGGGAGGTAACTCAATGTAGCACTAATCATACATTGTATATGGTACTGTATTGTTATACCAAAGTTATAATACTAACTAAGTGAACTAAAAAGATTAATATAAATGTATTTCTATTGCCAGAGTAAAGGAATCGGCCAATCAGGAGACTTTGTTGGCAAAGATGCAGGGTCAGGTACATCAGCTGACAGAGAAGTGTCGGGCCCAGGAGGAGGTGAGGGGCTAACATTGTTATGATATAATTGTGTAGTGTTGGCACTGGTAGTACCTAAATAATTGACGTTGTGATACATTTATTGTAAAATTCCATGAAACACGGTCAAACCAATAAAAAAATAAGTTCAAAATAATAATATATTTACTACAGCTAAAGCAATTGCGTCTTTGCCTATTGTAGAGTTATCTTCTCTTGTGAGCAGGTATTGATTGTTACATCATTGGTTTGTGTGAGAAAATTACGTCGTTTTCTTTGATGACGTTCCTCTCAATGACGTAACAATCCATACCTGCTCACAAGAGCAGATAACTCTGCAATACGCAAAGACGAAATAGGGGGGTTTTGAAACTAGAAAAGCTGGTGCGAATGTTTTCAGATGTAAGAGGTGAAACAGAATGCAAAATCAGTCACTCAATCTTCTTACTGTAATGTCATTTATCTGTTTTTTACATCTAAAAACTTAACATGATATTGAACACCTAATCACATAGGCTATGTACAGAGTGCTTTCACAGTGCCTATGCCCCTCTCATATGCAAGAGAAAAATGGTGTAAATAGTTCAAGGGAGAAAATCTCATAAAAAAACTGTTTGTAGAAGATGAAAAGATTATATTTTACTGTATGTTATGAGATATGAACCGTCTGTTGTCAGGCATTGGGTGATGCCGGGAGACAGATGGATTGTACTTTACTGTATATAATGAGATATGAACTGTTGTCAGGCATTGGGTGATGCCGGGAGACAGATGGATTGTATTTTACTGTATATTATGAGATATGAACCGTCTGTTGTCAGGCATTGGGTGATGCCGGGAGACAGATGGATTGTACTTTACTGTATATAATGAGATATGAACTGCTGTCAGGCATTGGGTGATGCCAGGAGATGGATGGATTGTACTTCACTGTATATAATGAGATATGAACTGTTGTCAGGCATTGGGTGATGCCGGGAGACAGATGGGTTGTACTTTACTGTATATAATGAGATATGAACTGTTGTCATGAACTGTTGTCAGGCATTGGGTGATGCCGGGAGATGGATGGATTGTACTTTACTGTATATAATGAGATATGAACTGTTGTCAGGCATTGGGTGATGCCGGGAGACGGATGGATTTTTCTTTACTGTATATAATGAGATATGAACTGTTGTCAGGCATTGGGTGATGCCGGGAGACAGATGGATGACAATACGAGAGACAAGTACCTGTCCGACACAGCTCTCAACCAGACCAGACAGATCCTAGTGGATGCTGAGAGGAAGCGTGGGCGTCCGTTCTTTGATTCTGACCCAGCGAGTAAACAGGCACCTGGAATGCTTGTTCACACCCTGGAACGATGTATGCAGGAAATGAGTGCTGACATCACACAGAAATCACAGAAAATACACGAGGTAAATTTGTGGACCACTCTTTCATGAGACTTTTAATTACCCTTTCCTACACCCCTGGGCATGAAGGAGTGTTTTTCTCTTACTCCAATCACTAGAATAGCTCAGGGGACACAGAAAAGTCTCTCAATTTCTGCTTCCAGATTTTATGTCGTCACATTGTTGTCCCATTGTGACATCCTGCACATACCATGGGATGTAAAGCAGAAACTGCTAACACCCCTTCCTTACCTTGGACAACTGACCTTGCCATATTACACATGGACGCTGTGTTTTGATGAAATTCTTCTTCTGTGGATTTTGGTATCAGATATTCAAATATATAAGGATAAAATAAAGTTTGGAAGAGATTTGAATTCAGTTGTATACAATTTGGTTAGTTTTGACTGTAAAGACACATTGAAAAATACTGCAATCTCTTGCATATTAACTTGTAAACAATGCATTTATGTACAAGTTATATTTCTGAAGTCAGTATTGACAGCGTTGTGACATTTTTACAATCATGTTCCTGTTGGCAGCTAAGTTTTAAAAGTGAAATTAGTTCAGACAGTGTACATAGAGTTCTGGTCTGTTTTACAGCTAGAGAAGGAGATTCTTTCTCTTAAACACAACATCAGCCACGACAAGGAGACCCTCATCCGGGAACAGCAAGACAAGTATGTATTATTGTAGAGTTACCTCCCTTCATATGATGTATATACAAAGCTGTAATTTTTATTTGAATTCTGTTGAAAGCACAATTGCATGGTCATTTCCCCATACATTTCTGATACAATTGTTACATTTCTTATATTTTAAACCAATTTTATAAGATATGAGCATATTTTCATTATTAGTAAAAATATGTTGATAAGAAGCAAGCTTATCAAATGCAACAGATTTAAAGATTTATAAAACAAATCTGTAGGATAGTCTTGATAACGATCAGTTTTAATCTACTGTTTTATTATAGGCTTTTAAAGCTTCGTGTAGATAATTTAGATTGTTCTAGATCATATTAATCTCAGATTCTATCTTTGTAAAACTTTGATTAAAAATGTTAAAAATAAATGCTAGTGTCATCCCCGCCAATAATTTTTCTGATCTAGGAACTTTAAGCTATGCTTTTAACATATGTAGAATTAATTGTAAAAATAGGTTTGATCTTCAAACGATTGTCTGTAGAAATAAGTTGAGCATTGTCACCTCCACACACTTAGTACACACTTAGCACACACTATCACTCACTATCTCTCACTATCACACTACGTCACAAGTGTTTTGTGGTGTGCCATCAGTCCCCCGCCATTGTGCGCCACCTGTGTCACTAGTTATTCCACACTTGTTTGCCTCCAATCCCCTCACCTTACACACTGTTGTCCCCTCACAGAGAACAGGAGGAACTAGCCATGTACAGGAAGTAAGTCTTGTGTTGGAAGTTTGGTACTAATTCCCTGTAAAATCACACAGGTTTTAATTTGTGTCATGTATAAGACTAAAGTTGTATAGTGTGTTCCTTGTTGACTGTGTACAGTTGGTTGTAATGTAAATACACATGTGGTCCCTTACCCAGCTTTCCCAAATTCCAAGTTATATCAGTACATAGAATTTACTACCTATATATCACTATATGTACCTACAACCATTGTAAGGCCTTAACTCTGAGTCCATGTTATCTATGCAGTTCCATCAGGTACTGAGATGTACATAAATGTCTGACTGGGCATTTGATGGCCTCTGAAAAGGGAGAAAAGTACACAAAGCATTATTGTAGCATGATCTTAGGAATTAAAAACATCAAAAGATGCCCTTATCCCAGGGATTAGTATAACTTAAAACTTTTCTGCACTATCTTATAGCATTAAACTGTACCCAGTCTATGAGTAAGTGACAGCTATACAATCCACACTGTTAACTCATTCAATGGTTAGGCACTAAACACTGCCCACAGTAAGCTATGCTCTTCAAAGTCTGGAGCACTGCCTTGTCTTTGTGTGGAGAAGTTGTACGTATTGTCCACTGCCGTCTAGGTCTTCCAGGGCAGCAATGATCAGGTGTCTCAAATTACCATATATCAGATCTATAGGATGAAATTCCAGTCGAGTTTTGTCCATCACTATGACTAGTGGACTTGTTTTCCCACCAATGTGTGCTCTACCCTCGTCAACTACAGCAATGTCCTCATTGACTGGGCGCTGTGATATACTCCATAGTAAACACACCAGTGATCTCCAAGCTCTCCCCTCGTCAACTACAGCAATGTCCTCATTGACTGGGCACTGTGATTTACTCCATAGTAAACACACTAGTGATCTCCAAGCTCTACCCTCCTCAACTACAGCAATGTCCTCATTGACTGGGCACTGTGATATACTCCATAGTAAACACACTAGTGATCTCCAAGCTCTACCCTCGTCAACTACAACAGTGTTCTTCATTGACTGGGCACTGTGATATACTCCATAGTAACCACACCAGTGATCTCCAAGCTCTACCCTCGTCAACGAAAGCAATGTCCTCATTGACTGGGCACTGTGATATACTCCATAGTAAACACACCAGTGATCTCCAAGCTCTACCCTCGTCAACTACAGCAATGTCCTCATTGACTGGGCACTGTGATATACTCCATAGTAAACACACCAGTGATCTCCAAGCTCTACCCTCGTCAACTACAGCAATGTCCTCATTGACTGGGCACTGTGATATACTCCATAGTAAACACACCAGTGATCTCCAAGCTCTACCCTCGTCAACTACAGCAATGTCCTCATTGACTGGGCACTGTGATATACTCCATAGTAAACACACCAGTGATCTCCAAGCTCTACCCTCGTCAACTACAGCAATGTCCTCATTGACTGGGCACTGTGATATACTCCATAGTAAACACACCAGTGATCTCCAAGCTCTACCCTCGTCAACTACAGCAATGTCCTCATTGACTGGGCACTGTGATATACTCCATAGTAAACACACCAGTGATCTCCAAGCTCTACCCTCGTCAACTACAGCAATGTCCTCATTGACTGGGCACTGTGATATACTCCATAGTAAACACACTAGTGATCTCCAAGCTCTACCCTCGTCAACTACAGCAATGTCCTCATTGACTGGGCACTGTGATATACTCCATAGTAAACACACCAGTGATCTCCAAGCTCTACCCTCGTCAACTACAGCAATGTCCTCATTGACTGGGCACTGTGATATACTCCATAGTAAACACACCAGTGATCTCCAAGCTCTACCCTCGTCAACTACAGCAATGTCCTCATTGACTGGGCACTGTGATATACTCCATAGTAAACACACTAGTGATCTCCAAGCTCTACCCTCGTCAACTACAGCAATGTCCTCATTGACTGGGCACTGTGATATACTCCATAGTAAACACACCAGTGATCTCCAAGCTCTACCCTCGTCAACTACAGCAATGTCCTCATTGACTGGGCACTGTGATATACTCCATAGTAAACACACCAGTGATCTCCAAGCTCTACCCTCGTCAACTACAGCAATGTCCTCATTGACTGGGCACTGTGATATACTCCATAGTAAACACACTAGTGATCTCCAAGCTCTACCCTCGTCAACTACAGCAATGTCCTCATTGACTGGGCACTGTGATATACTCCATAGTAAACACACCAGTGATCTCCAAGCTCTACCCTCGTCAACTACAGCAATGTCCTCATTGACTGGGCACTGTGATATACTCCATAGTAAACACACCAGTGATCTCCAAGCTCTACCCTCGTCAACTACAGCAATGTCCTCATTGACTGGGCACTGTGATATACTCCATAGTAAACACACTAGTGATCTCCAAGCTCTACCCTCGTCAACTACAGCAATGTCCTCATTGACTGGGCACTGTGATATACTCCATAGTAAACACACCAGTGATCTCCAAGCTCTACCCTCGTCAACTACAGCAATGTCCTCATTGACTGGGCACTGTGATATACTCCATAGTAAACACACCAGTGATCTCCAAGCTCTACCCTCGTCAACTACAGCAATGTCCTCATTGACTGGGCACTGTGATATACTCCATAGTAAACACACTAGTGATCTCCAAGCTCTACCCTCGTCAACTACAGCAATGTCCTCATTGACTGGGCACTGTGATATACTCCATAGTAAACACACCAGTGATCTCCAAGCTCTACCCTCGTCAACTACAGCAATGTCCTCATTGACTGGGCACTGTGATATACTCCATAGTAAACACACCAGTGATCTCCAAGCTCTACCCTCGTCAACTACAGCAATGTCCTCATTGACTGGGCACTGTGATATACTCCATAGTAAACACACCAGTGATCTCCAAGCTCTACCCTCGTCAACTACAGCAATGTCCTCATTGACTGGGCACTGTGATATACTCCATAGTAAACACACCAGTGATCTCCAAGCTCTACCCTCGTCAACTACAGCAATGTCCTCATTGACTGGGCACTGTGATATACTCCATAGTAAACACACCAGTGATCTCCAAGCTCTACCCTCGTCAACTACAGCAATGTCCTCATTGACTGGGCACTGTGATATACTCCATAGTAAACACACCAGTGATCTCCAAGCTCTACCCTCGTCAACTACAGCAATGTCCTCATTGACTGGGCACTGTGATATACTCCATAGTAAACACACCAGTGATCTCCAAGCTCTACCCTCGTCAACTACAGCAATGTCCTCATTGACTGGGCACTGTGATATACTCCATAGTAAACACACCAGTGATCTCCAAGCTCTACCCTCGTCAACTACAGTAATGACCTCATTGACTGGGCGCTGTGATATACTCCATAGTAAACACACTAGTGAACTCCAAATAGCGATGTTCTGGTGGTGTGGCTTGGCTTCCCAATTGAAATCATTTATATATTTAATGACTTTTTGGTATAGTCAAAAGACAAGCCAACTTACTTCCTTCATCACTGTTTAGAATTAGTTTTACTGAAGGTAATATTTAGTAAACTTATAAAACAAGATGTGTGTTTCTCTTCGAATACCCAGACTAAGTAAACTTGGGGCGTACCAAAGTGTGCTGTTCACTGTTGGTCAGGATGGCCAGGAGACTATCTCAAGGTGAAGGGTTTGAGAGTGGCTAACTCACCAGCCTAACAGCTAAAACTCATCAGCTCCAGACTTAACCTCTAACACAGCAGGCCTAACATGTGTTATTAGTGTAAAATTGGATGTGATTTGACAGTTACTCAACTATAGGAATTGACTTCATGTATATTTCTAACTTTTATTAAAGTTTAATGTGATGAACATGTATGTTATGTCTGATATTAAGTTTCTTGCTAGCAGTAAATCAGGGTTATGTCAGATCAAATAGTTTAAAAAAGGAAAAAACAAAACTCCAATTTTAAGGGAAAGGATTTGGAAAATCCTGAGAAAAATTCACAGCAACCCTAGACAATTCACTTTCTTTGTAGCTAGTTTAAGGAAATAAAAAAAAAAAGCTGAAAAAAAAAAATCCTGTTTTATTATCCTCATGCACAGTTATGTGTTTTGATTGATATTAGAGTGGTCTGATTAAGAAAGTCTATATAACTTGTATATCTGGTTAAACGCTGTTTTCTGAGTTGACCCTGTGTATATACTTCTGACATGGCCCTGTACATATTTCACCCCTCATTCACTTAGTGATGTTAACGTTAATGCTCAAGCGTTAACTAATGCATGTGCTTGCTTCATCTGTTTTCTTACAGAATCTCATCAATGACCACCGAACACGAAAAACAGATGCAGTCTGCGTCAGAACGGGCGAATAATGCCAGGAAGCAAACTGTGACTCTGCAGTCTCAGCTAGCCATGATAGAGTATGACATGTAGCCCGTCTGTTGGAGGGGTCCTACCTCACACGTATCACTGCCTGTACACCAGCCTTGTACTCCTCTTACATTGCACTTCCTGCTAGTCACCATGCACTTCATTTTCCACCGATGTTGTCATATTGTTTCATGGTTTTCGACCTTTGTTTTTTTCCTTATTTTCTTGTTTCTATATGATACCATATGAAGTAAGCTTCTGTGTCTGACATTTATCATATCTTCATCCTTCAACTCATTTCTATGTCCATAATTTATTTATCACTCCGCTTATTTACATGGCTTTACTTTCTTCATCATTCAGCTCCTTTGGTATTTCCTGGTACGTGTCCTTTACTGTATCCATAGTTGTAAATCTATTGTTAGTACTCACTTCACGTTTCAGCTTACTGTTGTTTTTATTATCACACTCCATTTCGATTTCAAAACCAAAATTTGATTTGTTTCTAATTTCAAGTTTGTTAGCCTTGTTTCTCAGAAAGTACTGGAGGGATTTTTTCTCAAGTTTCACTTGAGAGTTTACCATGGTCCCTAGTTATGCATATCAAATTGATGGAATGATCGAAAAATCAAGATGAGAGCGATAGGTTGTCATCTTGAATTTTGAGAGTTAAAGTTTGTTAGCAGTATTTCTCAAAAAGCACAGAAGGGATCTTTCTCAAATTTGATATCTAAGTTTCCTGCATATAACAGTGTGTAGTTGTGCAAGTTTACTTTTTAGACTGATTAGAAAACCAAAATGGCTAGCTGGTGGCCATTTTGAATATTGAGAGTAAAAGTTTGCTTTCTCTATTTCTCAGAAAAAACTGGAGGGATCTTACTCAGATATGATAGGCAGGTTTCCCTTAATCTATAACTGTGTGTGTTTACTTTTGAGACTGATTGGAAAAACAAAATGGCTGACAGGTATATAGACTTCTTTTGTAGATCTGATGAAAATCCTTCCATGGCGGGCGCCAAGATCCTTCTGGGATCTCTTGTTTACAGTTCATCTTTCAAACTTTCATTGCAGTCATTTAAAGAGCTTTCTCTGCTATAGGACATTTTTACTTTTTTTTATTTCATTAGTTTCTCATGTATAGTAGATAACAGCTTAAGCTCCTATAACTGCATGCTATTGTGTATAAAGTGTAATATAACTCAGATTGGCTGATTTCTGAATTAATAATTTATTGTAATAATTGAATGTTGTAAGGGTAATTAAATGTTTGATGAGAATAGCTCATTATGTCTAGATTTACTTAACCCCCTTTTTTAAATTGTGTAACAACTTTGTTTTTCACATGATCATTTTTTTTTTTTTTTTAATGTTTCTTGATTTTTACTTCATATGGAAAAAAAAAAGTGAATTATATTTGAACATGCAACTGTAAAGTATACATTATCATAAGTGGTCTATAATCTGTCAGCAAGAATATTAAAAAGCGTTTATGTCAGAATCCAGTTTGTGTCATCCATATTGTTGGCTTTTCTTGGCACCTGTGTACATATGTAATACTGTATAATGTAGAACAGTCCTCAGTGATCAACATGCTCTATTTGATAGTCAAATGGGGTCTTTCCCTTGACTTTTTCAACCTGCTTGACACTAGAACATCTGAAAGCACGGTTAAGTGCAAAATGTTCATTGAAATGTATCATTTGTTGTAACTAAAGTAATGAAAACTAATTTTGAAGAAATTTTGAATTTATGTTTTGTTTCATATTATATGTTTATGTCAGTTTTTTGAAAATTAAGTTTTTTTTCATTGTCAACACATGTTAAAGGTAACAATTATGTTACTTTACCAGAAACAAGATAGTTTAAATTGGAATTTTCTTGTTTGTTTTGAACTCTCATACTTGTTTGAGTGTAAATATACATTTTCTCAACAGGGCTCAGCTTGAGTGTAAATCTATAAAATTTACTCTACAGGGGTCAGTTTGTGAGTGTAAATATACAAAATTTACTTGACAGGGGTCAGTTTGTGAGTGTAAATATACAAAATTTACTTGACAGGGGTCAGTTTGAGCAGCAGATGAAGATGAAGGATGTGATGATACTAGACTTAGAACAGAAAGTCCGCCATTTAAAAGAAGAATTCTCAGATGATAGGACCAAATGGCAGCAAAAGGTAGGTCTGGGATGATCTGTGGGTGTATGTATAGTGTTACATCACTTTGAACATGAATACATATCTGTTTCAATGCGAACAAATCACAAGTTAGCCTATGATCCCAGCTCTGGTATATGAAGGAGATTAATATTTCCTATTAATTTGAAATAAAATATTTTTGAGGGGCTCAAATTTTGTGGTGTCCCAAAAAAATACCTTTTTATGGGTACATTAATTTGTGGGTTATGAGTACCCACTCATGCAGAGAATAGCTTTATGTCAAATTTGTAATTACTTTATGGACTATGAGTTTGTGGCTGAGGATTAACCGCTAATTGTACTATTTCAAAAACCCTGCAAAAATTAGTCATTTCACAGTAACTATCATCTAGGATTAACCTTTTCACCACTGTAGACCATAATGGACTCATCCATATAAATGCATGGTAGGGTCTACTAAAGTAACATAGGGGTAAAAGGGCTAACTGATAAAAAGAAACAGTTTGAATCTAACCTAAAACTTTTTCCCATTACAAAACAAAAATCTTTAGAATATGCAGGTTAAGTGAATGTCTTACATAAATCTTTATCCCATTACAGAAGGAAACTCTGGAGGAATCCCTGGAAAAGACTCACAAAGAAGTCAGTGCCATGAGGAAGGAGAGGGACGATGCCATTCGCAATCACTCATCTCTAGAGGGCAAGCTAGAGGACCACCAAGTACGTCGGACATAATTTATTATATATAGATACATTGTATGGTAATTAAGTAGACTATTTATTGTGACTTAACAAACTTGCATAAGACATTTAATTATCAAATATATGATCAACAGAAAAATTGAATATACAGCTTTAAGAAGGTTGACCAAGTATTTGAGTAACAATCCTTTCACAGGTATTAATTACTGTACAGTCAAACATTCTCATGTGACCACCTCTACTAAGAGACAACTTTGTATGCTGCCATTAATATAGGGATTTTTTTTTTATTAATTGGACATGTATTAAGAGACCACTGTGTAGATATAAATAGACCACTTTTTAGCCCACCATCATCTGATGGTGGGCTATTCAAATCACCCTGCGTCCGTGGTCCATGGTCCGTCCGTCCATTGTCCGTCGTCTGTCCGTAAACAGTTCTTGTTACCGCTATTTCGTCTGAAGTACAAGAGGGATCTTTCTCAAATTTTATATGTAGGTTCCCCTTGGCCCCTTGTTGCGCAGGGCAACTTTTGAGACTGATCGGATAAACAACATGGCTGACAGGCAGCCATCTTGGATTTTATACTGAAAGTTTGTTATCGCTATTTCTCGGGAAGGAGTAGAGGGATCTTTCTCAAATTTTATATGTAGGATCTCCTTGATCTCTAGGTATGCAGGGCAACTTTTGAGACTGATCAGATAAACAACATGGCCGATAGGCAGCCATCTTGGATTTTGATAGTGAAAGTTTGTTATGGCTATTTCTCGGGAAGTACTAGAGGGATCTGTCTCAAATTTTATATGTAGGTTCCCCTTGTTCCCTTGTTGTGCAGCAGTGCCTGAAATGGACGGTCTCCCGCTCGCCAATGGCGATTAAAGTCTTGCTCGGGTGACCAAAAAATGTCAAAAGTAAGGTAGTCACTGGCCCAACAAAAATAGTTTCGGCGACTGTCGCAAAATTTATGGATAAAAGAAATTATAGTCCCTTCCACATTAACTGGGGGGCAGTACATTTTTCATTTGTCATTTCTTCGATTTGAATCTAACTGTCTGTGATTTAGAAAACGTGATGATTTTTTTTCAGATTTTCTATATAAATACGGCCAGGGTGTTTTCTTCGAGGTGCGAGTTTTGTGTATTTCTTTGGGAAATACTAAAGACCTGAATGGAGTGGATCATGTCGAGTTTTAACTACTAGGGTTGAAGAATTAAAAATATAATGTTTTATTCTGTTTTACATATTACAAACATTGTCATATTATATGTAATTTAAATGTACTAAAGCATTGTGTTAAATGCTGTGGAAATATTTCTTCCCAAAATTATTTGGGCCACCAATATGTCATTTGGGCCAGTGCTTCAAATTATTTACTTGCCCAAATTTTATTTTGGGGCCAGCCAATGCAGGTTCCCCACTATCCTTTATTGTTCATGTTTACTTTTGAAACTGATCAAGTTAAACAAAAAAGCCTACCGACAGTCATCTTTGATTTTTGACATTGAAGGTTTGTTAATACTATTTCTCAGGAATAACTTGAGGATCTTTCTCAAATTTGATATGTAGGTTCCCCTTGATCCCTAGCTTGTTGTGCATGTTATATTTTGAGACTGATCATTAAAAATAAAATGGCTAAAGGAAGAACTAAACAGATCTTTCTCATATTGCAATGAACGATTCTATTTCTTTAACATTAAGTACTGTACTAGTAAATATGTGAAATGACAAACTCACTTTGAAGGTTGGCTTTCATACACATCAGTATTAAGTTTAGATCAAAAGTTACCTCAAGGTGCATTTACTGTTAACATGACTCGATCAAACAGATTAGAGGAAAGAAGAGAAAAGATCGAATTGACATAGAACTAATGAAGATGGTACAATGGTGGGCGCCAAGATCCCTCTGGGATCTCTTGTTTCGACTTCTGAAGTGTGGTCTCTTGATACAGGGTTGACATTATAATCTCCTGTCCACCTTTATGGCTGTCTGCTGGTCCAGCTCCCTTGTCCCAATGTTTGTAAATTCCAGTCATTATTACTATATGCTCATCAATAAGATTTGTGTGGTGAACGCTTCCTTTATGGACAAAAACACTGCAAAAACTGTTCATGCACATTACCCGTCATTTGAGAAATGGAATGAGAGACATCTCCCTCAATGGAGGTTTCAGAGGTTGACGCCTATGGTCAAACACCTCATACAGGTAAGAATGAGGGTATATCACTTTGGAGAACACATTTCAGAAACATGACAACATTTTTGGCCTGAAATCTTAATTAACCTATTGTGTTGTGTGTTGTAGAACACAGCGGCCCGACTGCAGGCCGAGGTACACCTGGAGAAGCAGCGCTGTAGTCAAATGTCCGACAAGGAGACCATGATGAGGACAAGGCAGACCGAGCTGGAGACCAAATTAGAGGAGAAACAGCGGGATGTAGAGCGACTGGAGAAGATGTTGGAGCTCATCAGACACGAGTGTAACGCTCAGGTCAATGAAAAGGTCAATACAACATATCTGTTTTAAAACGGATAGGGTTAATTAATTTTGTATTAGTATAAGTCGTAATAGTAGTTGATGGATTCAGATTACTCAGAGCCTGAGGTTATTTGGTGTATTATTGATTTATTTTGAATGTTGGTGATTTATAAGTTACATAGTCATACTTGTCCAACACTTTAATCAAACGCGCTGCAAACTTTTGGGCATCCAGACGAGGGGCACAGGACCAGATTATTCAACTTTTGAAGAAACCATGGCATTGGCTCTTCCCTAAACCTTAGCAAACCTGATTAATAAATTATGTCGGTCAGATCTTCTGCTGGATTTTTTTGTTTTGTTTAATATAAGTACAGATTAATTTTATTAAATTAAATAAGAGAGTTTGTGTTGCAGATATCGTACGCAGAGCGACAGGAGAGAGATCGTCACCTGGACCAAATCAGCAGTCTAACCTCACAGCTCAGTAGTATGACGGAGAAGTGCAATAGAAACACCCTGGACCTGGAAATGACCAGATCTGAGTGTGCTAATCTCAAAAAACAATTACGGGAAACCTCCGAAAAATTTGAATCAACCAAAATCCAGCAAGAATCATTGTCAGTCGAGAAGAATCATGTATCTAACATGCTGAGTGATAAAAAGTCAGAAATGGAAAGAGTGACACAAGAAAAAGACTATTATTCTAATATGTTAGAACAAAAAAATGAGGAATTATCACAATTAAAGACTCAGAAGGAACGATTAGCTATCCAGTTAGAGGAGAAAGACAAAAACCTGTTAATGTTACAACAACAATCCTCAAACTTCACTCAGTTCATGGAGACAAATTCTCGGACTCATGAAAATCTCAGGGAAGAAAAAGACAATCTATTGAAAATAATTACAGACCAGAAATCTACATTAGAAGAACTGAGAAGTTCTCGAGAGAATATGGCAAAGAAGATGAAAATAAGAGAAAAACGAGTCAGGGAGTTAGAAGAAACGAAGAAGAAGTCTGTAGATGAGATACAGCTGCGTTTGGAGGAGATGGGGATACTACAGCAGGAAAAAGATAGTCTGTACCAGGAGCTGAAGGAGAGTCGATACGAGGTGGCTAACCTCACGGAGGAGAAGGATTCAGTCAAACACAACCTCGAACTCCAGAAGTCCGACCTGCAGCAAACCCTGGCACGGGCACAATCAAAATGTAAAGGTAAGTGTTAGGATGATAAAGGGTAGATAATCAAAGGTAAGTGTTAGGATTATACCTGTTATGTTGAACATCCATTCAGTTCAAACATATTCATTTAATATTAATGTGTTTAACTGTACAAAAGTTTAGACAAATTCTTGGTTTGGTATTATTATCCCGCTGGTCCCTTGTCTCGTTTTGCTGTGTGGTCCCATATAACCATATATTGATATGTGATTTAAATGTTATTAGTTGATAGTCAGATACATTTTGTTTCATAGACTTAAACAGGAATATAGAAAAAAAAGGCTTTCTCATAATTTGGTAGCCCAAATTTAAAGACCCTACAGTTGTATAAGAAATTGTGTTTTGAAATTATGAAACTTGCAGAATTTCCAAAGACAATGAAAAATAACTCTGTGAAATACATAACTTACCTGGTTGTGAAATATATAATCTTTATTAGGGGGGCATAAGGGATTGTATATATCTAGAAAGGGATAACAGTGTTAATAACTATTATGTGTGATAAATAATATCTAGGATATGTGATACATAATAACTAGTATGTGTGATAGATAATATCAAGGATATGTGATACATAATAACTAGTATGTGTGATAAATAATATCTAGGATATGTGATACATAATAACTAGTATGTGTGATAGATAACATCTAGGATATGTGATACATAATATCTAGTTAAATGTGAATTCCTCCTTTCAGCAATGGAGCAGGAATTCAAGCTGGCACACAGAACTCTGAAGTCAAGAGAGTCAGCAGATCACCAAGGTAACTACATGTGTGTTATAGTCAGCAGATCACCAAGGTAACTACATGTGTTTTATAGTCAGCAGATCACCAAGGTAACTACATGTGTTTTAAAGTCAGCAGATCACCAAGGTAAGTACATGTGTTTTATAGTCAACAGATCACCAAGGTAACTACATGTGTTTTATAGTCAGCAGATCACCAAGGTAACTACATGTGTTTTATAGTCAGCAGACCACCAAGGTAACTACATGTGTTTTATAGTCAGAAGATCACCAAGGTAACTACATGTGTTTTATAGTCAGCAGATCACCAAGGGAACTACATGGGTTTTATAGTCAGCAGATCACCAAGGTAAGTACATGTGTTTTATAGTCAGCAGATCACCAAGGTAACTACATGTGTTTTATAGTCCGCAAATCACCAAGGTAACTACATGTGTTTTATAGTCAGCAGATCACCAAGGTTTGTTATCATTACAGTAACATTAAGATCTTTGTCATAGCTTTAAATCAAAACATTTTCTCTATCATTTCTTAGTCAGTTAAAGTAGTACTGATAGTTTCAATCTGTTTGCCAAGAAAACAATAAGGTCTACTGGGGTATTTAATGATTATGAAATACCCAATCATAACATTTCTTCGGACAGTTAACACATGGGTGTAATGTTGTTTTAACTTGTAAAACATGTATAACAGCTGTAAATGTGGCAGACAAGGGGTCAGAACACTTGTAGATTGTTACTAAGTAAGATGTAATAACGTTTTAACTTCAATGCATTACAGCTGTGAAGGTGGCAGACAAGATGCAGAAGGAGGTTACCCTGAAGCGGAGTGAGATAGACTCCCTAAAGACCAAGGTCCGGTGGCTGGAGGACAAACTGGACTCCCTCTCAAGGGTCAGTAGTCTGTGTCAGTCACTGAGAGAAAACAATAACTGTGATGATTGATAGAGTTATGTATGATTAGTGCCTCTTTAGTGTCAGGGATATCTAACAAGTGAATCAACAATATGTAATGAATTTGTTGAACTTTGATGAATAGTCCCTCTCTAGTGTCAATGATATGTAATGAATCTATTGAATTCTGATGAACCGTCCCTCTCTAGTGTCAATGATATGTAATGAATATGTTGAATTCTGATGAACAGTCCCTCTCTAGTGTCAATGATATGGAATGAATCTATTGAATTCTGATGAACAGTTCGTCCCTAGTGTCATTGATATGTAATGAATCTGTTGAATTCTGATAAACAATTCCTCTCTAGTGTCAATGATACGTAATGAATCTATTGAATTCTGATGAACAGTTCGTCCCTAGTGTCATTGATATGTAATGAATCTGTTGAATTCTGATAAACAATTCCTCTCTAGTGTCAATAATATGTAATGAATCTATTGAATTCTGATGAACCGTCCCTCTCTAGTGTCAATGATATGTAATGAATTTATTGAATTCAGATGAACAGTCCCTCTCTAGTGACATTGATATGTAATGAATCTATTGAATTCAGATAAACAGTCCCTCTCTAGTGTCAATGATATGGAATGAATCTATTGAATTCTGATGAACAGTTCGTCTCTAGTGTCATTGATATGAAATGAATCTGTTGAATTCTGATAAACAATTCCTCTCTAGTGTCAATGATACGTAATGAATCTATTGAATTCTGATGAACAGGTCGTCTCTAGTGTCATTGATATGTAATGAATCTGTTGAATTCTGATAAACAATTCCTCTCTAGTGTCAATAATATGTAATGAATCTATTGAATTCTGATGAACAGTTCGTCTCTAGTGTCATTGATATGAAATGAATCTGTTGAATTCTGATAAACAATTCCTCTCTAGTGTCAATGATATGTAATGAATCTATTGAATTTTGATGAACAGTTCGTCTCTAGTGTCATTGATATGAAATGAATCTGTTGAATTCTGATAAACAATTCCTCTCTAGTGTCAATGATATGTAATGAATCTGTTGAATTCAGATGAACAGTCCCTCTCTAGTGACATTGATATGTAATGAATCTATTGAATTCAGATGAACAGCCCCTCTCTAGTGTCATTGATATGTAATGAATCTATTGAACTCAGATGAACAGTCCCTCTCTAGTGTCATTTATATGTAATGAATCTATTGAATTCAGATGAACCGTCCCTCTCTAGTGTCATTGATATGTAATGAATCTGTTGAATTCAGATGAACAGTCTCTCTCTAGTGTCAATGATATGTAATGAATCTATTGAATTCAGATAAACAGTCCCTCTCTAGTGTCAATGATATGGAATGAATCTATTGAATTCTGATGAACAGTCCGTTTCTAGTGTCATTAATATGTAATGAATCTATTGAATTCAGATGAACCGTCCCTCTCTAGTGTCATTGATATGTAATGAATCTGTTGAATTCTGATGAACAGTCCGTCTCTAGTGTCATTAATATGTAATGAATCTATTGAACAACAATATGTAATGAATTTGTTGAACTTTGATGAATAATCCCTCTCTAGTGTCAATGATATGTAATGGATCTATTGAATTCAGATGAACAGCCCCTCTCTAGTGTCATTGATATGTAATGAATCTGTTGAATTCTGATAAACAATTCCTCTCTAGTGTCAATGATACGTAATGAATCTATTGAATTCTGATGAACAGTCCGTCTCTAGTGTCATTAATATATAATGAATCTGTTGAATTCTGATGAACAGTCCGTCTCTAGTGTCATTGATACGTAATGAATCTATTGAATTCTGATGAACAGTCCGTCTCTAGTGTCAATGATATGTAATGAATCTGTTGAATTCAGATGAACAGTCTCTCTCTAGTGTCAATGATATGTAATGAATCTGTTGAATTCAGATGAACAGTCTCTCTCTAGTGTCAATGATATGTAATGAATCTATTGAATTCAGATAAACAGTCCCTCTCTAGTGTCAATGATATGGAATGAATCTATTGAATTCTGATGAACAGTCCGTCTCTAGTGTCATTAATATATAATGAATCTGTTGAATTCTGATGAACAGTCCGTCTCTAGTGTCATTGATATGTAATGAATCTGTTGAATTCTGATAAACAATTCCTCTCTAGTGTCAATGATATGTAATGAATCTATTGAATTCTGATGAACAGTCCCTCTCTAGTGTCATTGATATGTAATGGATCGGTTGAGCATCAGTGATAACTTTGGTGTCCATTCTGATGAGTTTGTTCCCTCAGGGGTCAGGAAATCTGGAGACAGCAAAGAGGGATCTGAACACATTTTTCTTTTGATTATTTTGATATTTACAAATTGAGTTGAATTTGTCTTCACTTTGATATTTTGTTCTTGGTAATTAATACCAGCATAATTGTTGTCCTTCCTGTATAAGTCCAAACCAAAACATAATTGTGTTTCCTGTAACACGTTTGAAAAATTCCAGGATAGGTTGAATACCTTTTTTTTTTTTTTTTTAAATAATTCTATATGGGTTATGTAGAAGAGTGATCTTTAACAGTGCTTCTTCGAAAATTCACTAAAAAGGTTAGGATGGACACTAAAATTAGGTAGGTAGGGTTATCAGAAACACTAAGATAATTTTGGTTTGGCTTAATGACAGGAACACATGACACAGAACTATTCATCACAATGCCTGCTGCTGTTTATTGCTTGTTATCTAATTTCAAGCTGTTATGTCTTGGCCTAATCAATTTCATTTATTAATTATGAAGTTAATTCTTTCAATTTAAAATATTCTCTGAGGAAGAGAGACAAAATGCTATTGATCTCATTGCATTCATAGCCCTTCATGTATATGAACACACTTTATTTTTGCAGTGTTCATAAAGGGATTTGTGGCAGAGATGTAAATGTATTGAATAGTATAGTGACAGTAATAAAATGTCCATGTTAAATGGAAAACTGAATGACATAGTTACACAGTCAAGTGAATTTGTAGCCAATGTCAAGGGGATGATTGACAGTATTTTTGAGACCAGTGAGTTAAAGAAGTACGTATCGTTCACAATGGGCTTTCAGGTGTAAAATGTCACATGGTTACTTAATGCGCATTATGATTTGTTTGCTTGCAAAGCTGTGTCATTCAAATAGATCATAAATACCATACAAAAACAGTTCAATACTTATATTTACGTTTTCTCTGTCTCTTATGTTCTTTTTTAATTTATAATTTATATTTAAAACTAAAAATGCCCGCCTTATCGACAGTCCACACAATTTCGTTCAATAGTTTGAACAGCGTATTGTCGCGTGCTGATTGGCAAACAAAGTAGTACTTTGAAATTTTAACAAACACTTCAATTTTATTCCACAATTCAGTATCAATACAATTGCATATGATATGTATATAGGGTGATTTAAGTTTATCAATAGAACACTGAGCTGAAAGTTAGATTTTTAATTGTGTTTCGATTTCCCCCCGGAACAAATTTCGCGCATGGACAAATACAGTGAACACCGTAAATCCGACCTTGCCCTCCACGAGGGAGTTATTTTTGGAAGTTAATTCAAACTTTTCTCTTTGCTCATTTTGTGAAGAATCCAGGCGTGAATTTATTTGTTGATTGTATGGGAACCTGACAACAGTCGGTAGATTCTATAACAGCCTCGTTATTTGACCTGTCGTCAGAATTAAACTGAGGAACCGTAGATGCGAGACGCATGAAACTGATAGCGTTTGAAGTGAGTGATCTTGCGACGGAGCACAGGTTCGTTACAAATGTCTGAAATGTTTATGTGTGCTGTGACTCATATCAGTAGGTCTGTAACATATGTGTCAGTAGGTCTATAGAATATGTTTAATTCAGACATTTATAACGAACCCCTGTTGACCAGTGCAGTGTAACAGAAGATATTTCTGATAAATTGCATGAGCGTTGAAATTGTTTCCATTGCCGGCATTGGTGATTTCAACCGATGTGCATTTTGTACGATATTGCAGACCTTGGTCTTGTTTTCGTTGTAATAAAAGTGTTTTTTATTTTATTTTTTATTTTACACATAAATTTACAATGACAATGTCAAATCTCACAATGCCCAGCGATATTTCAGCAGCCATCATGTTTATTTATATTGGATATTGTAGTTCCGGTCAGTGTTGTATTAATACGCTAAGAATTGTGTCTCGTGATGCATGGTAATTAAAGTCCCATCAACGACACAGTTTTCAAAGAGGCTATATAGTGACAATGCCATGCAAATGTAAATATATAGATTTAGAAATTCTTAGCAGTGACATTAAAATGTTCTGAACTTTGACACCATTTGCTGGTTGATTATGAAGAAGGAAATCATAAAGTTGTGATCTAAATGGTTACTTAAAATGATTGTTACTAAACATGAAAGTACAATTATTTTGTGGTTACAGGAACGAAACAGTCTGGAGGGTGACAAAGACAGACTGAAGATGTCCCTCAACAAGTCTCTCACTCACAACCATCAGATCACTGCAGACCTCGAGGTGTCCCAGGGGCAGGTCATGGAGCTTCGCACACAGATCAATCGACTAGAGGTCTCACTGGAGAAGGTCAGTGGTTTATAAGAATCAAACAAAGTGTGTGTGTTTGAGGGGAATGACAGTTTAGTGGAGCTTTATATCAAGACAGGTAACTAGTGTCGGTATTGAACAACTAAGGTATTTTGAAAGAATATATAAGTTTGTGGTATATAGGTGATGGGGCAGAACACATTTATTGAAAAGGGCTTCAGATGTTATAGAATTTTAACCCATTCACCCCTTTAGTCACATTTGAACCTTACCAAATCAAAGACTGGACAAGTTCAGTTTAAATATGTAGGGGTGAATGATCCCCCAGAATGAGCTAATGGCTAGGGATACTTTATGGCAAATGTTGTGTAGGTAGATCAATTAGGGATGGTTACCTGTATATCAAGATAGGAGTGTAACATATAGGGCAGTAAACACTCACACAGGTAATAATGTAAGACTTCAGCAAAGAACTTTAATGTGATATATAGTAAGTTTAGCCATAAAGACAGGTTAACACATACGATAGAACAAATGGATAAGTATCGAATGGAGTTAATAAATATTTAATTATAATTGCTATTATGTAAATACAATAATGTATGAAGAATATGGAGAATGGAATAACATGCAACATAATATGCACACATGTGTTTTGGCTGATGGTTGGAGTGAGGGGGCAGGGGGAGGGAGGAATTCGTCACTCGGGTGGTAATTTAGGGAGGGAGAATGAGATCAGTAGGTAAAATGTACAAAAAACATATTTTCCTGTCAACACAACTAAACATTTCCAAAGTATGTTTAGCTTGATTGATTCAGTTGTTGAATGAAATTGATTTGTTTTTATTAATTTTTACTGAAGTAAAGCAAATGTAACAAAACTCCCATGTGTAATGTTTGTTTTGAGAATTGAAACTATAGCTAATGGGAAATTAGAACGTCTGCTAGTTTACAGAAAGGGGATTAATCTCTAAGGAATATTGTTCGACAGTGGCGAGTATCTATTCTATAAATCTTAATTACAATTACCATATATAGGCCTCACCTGTTGTGCATCCAATATCAAAAGATCTTTGTACATGAGAACTTAACTTTAGTGATTGGATGCAGATGAACACAGTCACCAGGGTTTTATCAGGGTGTGAAATGCTTATAACCCTAGGCAATTAAACACATCTCACCTTCAATATTGTACTGAATAACAGGTGATTGTGATAGGATGGCTATCTCCAGCCTACAGGAAATCTGATAGAGTTGGTGTTGATGTGATTCTGAGTTCGTCACTTGTTTTTATCACTTCAGACTTAATTAACATTTCAGTTGATTGCAATGTTCTTAACACTCATCAATTCAATGCAAGTTTGACACACCGGATTGTCCCATAGTGCCGTCATAAAATGTTCCGTTTACAGTGACAACATATCAGCAGTTGTTTTGATCTTCAAAAGGCTTTTACATTATACATGTGTGTTTCCTTTTTTATTGATTTTTTGGTCCCCGACTGGTACTACGTAAACATACTCTTGTCAATCACTCAGTGTGTCAATGTTTCTAGGGAATATCTTTAATACTGTCATGTTGAATTTCAAAGTTTTTCAGTACCTCTTAGGGTGACCGTGTGCCTTGTACTGAAAGCCAGTCTCATGTCCCAGTTATTGAGTACCTCTTAGGGTGACCGTGTGCCTTGTACTGAAAGCTGGTCTCGTGTCCCAGTTATTGAGTACCTCTTAGGGGGACAGTGTGCCTTGTACTGAAAGCTGGTCTCATGTCCCAGTTATTGAGTACCTCTTAGGGTGACTGTGTGCCTTGTACTGAAAGCTGGTCTCGTGTCCCAGTTGTTGAGTACCTCTTAGGGTGACCGTGTGCCTTGTACTGAAAGCTGGTCTCGTGTCCCAGTTATTGAGTACCTCTTAGGGTGACCGTGTGCCTTGTACTGAAAGCTGGTCTCGTGTCCCAGTTGTTGAGTCCCTCTGAGGGGGACAGTACACTAGTGTGCCTTGTACTGAAAGCTGGTCTCGTGTTCCAGTTGTTGAGTACCTCTTAGGGTGACAGTGTGCCTTGTACTGAAAGCTGGTCTCGTGTCCCAGTTGTTGAGTGCCTCTTAGGGTGACCGTGTGCCTTGTACTGAAAGCTGGTCTCGTGTCCCAGTTGTTGAGTCCCTCTGAGGGGGACAGTACACTAGTGTGCCTTGTACTGAAAGCTGGTCTCGTGTTCCAGTTGTTGAGTACCTCTTAGGGTGACCGTGTGCCTTGTACTGAAAACTGGTCTCGTGTCCCAGTTATTGAGTACCTCTTAGGGTGACAGTACACTAGTGTGCCTTGTACTGAAAGCTGGTCTCGTGTTCCAGTTATTGAGTACCTCTGAGGGTGACAGTACACTAGTGTGCCTCGTACTGAAAGCTGGTCTCGTGTCCCAGTTATTGAGTCCCTCTGAGGGTGACAGTACACTAGTGTGCCTTGTACTGAAAGCTGGTCTCGTGTTCCATTTATTGAATACCTCTTAGGGTGACCGTGTGCCTTGTACTAAAAGCCAGTCTTGTGTCCCAGTTATTGAGTCCCTCTGAGGGTGACAGTGTGCCTTGTACTGAAAGCCAGTCTTGTGTCCCAGTTATTAAGTACCTCTAAGGGTGACAGTACACTAGTGTGCCTTGTACTGAAAGCTGGTCTCGTGTTCCAGTTATTGAGTACCTCTAAGGGTGACCGTGTGCCTTGTACTGAAAGCTGGTCTTGTGTCCAAGTCATTGAGTACCTCTTAGGGTGACCATGTGCCTTGTACTGAAAGCTGGTCTCGTGTCCCAGTTATTTTCAAAGTTATGACCCTTTGTTCACTATTTATTAATTTGTTCACGGCATCTCTCATATACTCTTGTCAGCTACAAGTGTAAAACTTTATAAGTGACTATCCCTTTAGATTGTGATGTGGTGCAAACTGAGGTCAGATGTTTAAAGGCAACTATATACAGAGTTATGTCCCTTGGTTCAAGTTTGTCTCTTGGGTGGAGGAGGGGAAATTGAGGCCAGTAGCATGTGACTTCCATTTCTAGTTGTCTATTGTATTGAGTGTAATATGATTTAAATGCTATTATTTGTCATTTTTCAATGTAGGTAATATTCAAAATAACTTGTAGAAGTAATATTCTGTAAAAACAAAACATGTACGGATCATGATCATGACAAAACAGAAAATATCATTGATGCAGCTTAGATATAAATACATAAAACTATTGATATCGGAACAGTTGAAACGCTCCACCACTCAGGACCGGAAAAGTGTTCATGTTATGATGACAGAAACCCCCCTGAATGTGGCTAAAAAGGTTTGTGAATAGTGGACGTTAGGGACATGTAACTGTGCACTGTGGTCACTGGTTTACCTCCCTTTGTCACCTCTCTAATGCTCAGCTCTTGTACACAGTTGTGAACTGGGCTGGCCAACCCTGCTCATTCTACTCATACAAAACCTGTGTTAGTTTGGTGTGTGTCACTTGTTTTCTAATAAATTAATAAGTAAATGTAATTAATATTGTAAGATTTTAACAACATGTTTGCACATTTATTTTTACAGGCAATGACAGTAATATATGATTTACTATTATTAGCATGTATCTCGGTTTGTTTTATCCTGGCTATTTTATAAAGCGTTATTTTAGTTCTTGTTTGGCTGTGTTAGCTTTGATTAACACCATATATCGGAGAGGGGAAAATATCATCCTGTTTGATGAATCAAATAAATTTGTGTTTATATAATTCCTAAAATGTAAAAGTTGTTATTGATGAATTTCAGTTTCTCATATTTATTTGGGTTAAAAATACATCCTGACTGATTTTTTCAGCTGTATCAAATGTTTTGTTTTAAATGAGTATTAAAATGTCAGGTAAATGTGAACAGTGTATATATATAAATATGAAAAAAAAAATGCAAAAGTTTCGCCTTAGTTTATTTTCCACAAAATATAAATAGTTGTTTTGCAAAGAAATTTCAGGTTCATGGATCATTTTGAACATACAATGTATCAAGTTCTGATTTATGTTTTTTTGTCCATCTATACCGGATAGGAGAAGACTTATATTGGCTAAGACTATTGGCTTAATTTAATCCTTTTGTTCACTTGTTTTTGTCCAATAAAATTCGTTGTAATCGAAAAATCAAGTTCTGTAACCAAATGTTTTTTTAGACACATGTACAGGTTTTTATATAGACTACAGATTTATTTATTTCCTCCATTTTTTTTTTCTTTAAATTTTTGAAAGGAAGGATGAACATAACTCAGAAAAACGTGTTTTTAAGTTGAAGTTCAATCTAAAGGATTTTCTAAAGGCATATTTGTGTATTACAGTTTTATTATCAATTAACATGCTAATTCTAATTGTGTGGGTTGTGTGAGGTGTTGATCATTAATAGAATCCATCCCTGATATGTGCTATGGATAAGGTAATTCAAACCCAAGGGACAAAATATTGAACAGGAGACCCGAGGCTTTGCCGAAGGTCTTTTGCTCAATATTTTATCCCGAGGGTTTGAATTACCTTAATCTTACCTCACATCAGGGATGGATTCTATTTCTTGCTTATTACCTAAAACCCGTAAAAGTAGCTGCTCTTCTAGTAAATATGTAAACTGTCTGCGCATTTATCATTTGCATATGCAGCACAGATGACAATTGTTAATGACGTCAATGACCCTGACTAAACCCAAAAGGTCATAAAATGACGTCACGAACAATAGCGTGACCCCGAAAGGTCAGTTTAATTCCCCACCAGTCTGCACATGTAAGCGATCCAGACCCGTGGGTCAGATAGAATTTTCCAGCAGCGCCAGAAATGTGGATATCTCTGTCTAATATGCAAGAGTATATGTTATTTACCCATTTTGATGTACATGTATTGTGTTAACTATGTGATTTCTGTGCAGGTTAATCCAATGTGTGCTAACTTATATAATTAGTAGTTTTCTGAATCACAATCAGGCTTGATATTACCTTACTGTAGATTTGGTAATCAGTATCAGTTAATTCCTCTCGATGTTTCTTTGAAAGGTATAATAAACTTTTCTGGGAAAGAGATGTAGTGTATGTGTGAATAGTTAGTGTAGTAATATACATTTAGTGGCCATTGATTTCCCCCTGTATTTTTACTTGATTGTTCAAAGCCAGGGTAGATGTTTAAATTCAAATTACGAAATTACTATCGGTGACAGAAAGAAATGTTGAAGATCCAGATTATGTACAGATCTTAGCTTTGACTACAGGATCTGTTTATGTAAAAGACAAGCACTGTGCCATTTATGACTATCATAATATGCACGTGACAGAATCAGAGTTACATGGTATTAATTTAGCACTGTGTTTGATAAGATATTATGAATTAACAGAATTGGAACCCAACGCACACATTTTATATGCATACGCTAAACCTGATAAGCTTGTGTAAAATTTAAGATCTGATTTTGAACTGCACAAGCTAGCTTGGAAAAGAGTGACTTTTTAGTTCGTTAATATTATTGCGTTCCCTAAAGGAACATATGTTTATAGACAATTAGAGTATACATGATAGAAAGAAACACTCATAAACTTAATGTTTTTTGCTTATAATATTAACTTATTGAATGTTTATGACTGTTGTGTCTTTTTAAGCTTGCTGATTAAGTTGCATCAATTGACCACTCTATAGCTCTCCTAGCACTATATAATCTTACCACTTTCAGATGGCATTCATATCAGCTATGAATGTCATAGCCTATGTGTAAACATCATGATTATTATGACATAAATGTTACAACCCCTATCCTTATGCATGGGAACCTCTTTAAACTTATTTGCAAGTTCTCCTCAGTATCCTGGAGACCTATCAGTTAATACTTTAATATCAATCACTCTCTAACACTATTGGGTACCCATAATTTTCAATAACAAGTGGTTTCATCATTTAGAAGGAAGCAAGTGGAATTCATATTTTGTGAACTTCTTCACATTCAAAATGTTTCAATGGATACAATAATGTTTGCACATGCACATTTCTAAATCAAAATGAACATATCCTAAGTCAGATTTTCACCATCAGTCAGATTTTCATGACACAGGGTATGTAAGAGGTATAAGATAGATTTTGAAATAATATTTTTACTCTTATACAAGTTAATGACATGCATAGAAAGAATTTAAAGATAATATGAAGTGAACTTAATAAAGACGATATTTTGGTTATGTTTGTAGGCTAACACTAAGACCGCCACTACTCAGGCACAGCTGGAGCAGTTTGAACAGGAGCTCACCTGCCTCAAGCTCAAACACCAGCTGGATATGCAGGTATGACATCAGACATCTCAGGCTCAAACATCAACTAGACATAGCAGTCAGAGTTTGAATGTCAAACTCAAACGTCCGATATATAAGCCTCCTGATCTGCGCTTAGTAATTATCTCAAGTGATTTTTTTTGTTTCAAGGAAGCAATTCAGAAGACAACTCAGAGAAAAGGTCAAGGTCAAAAAGACCCAGTAGCTGTGTACTACCCTCAGGAGGAGGGTAACCTTGACCTTATAAAGGGAGGAAAGAGTAGTCAGCTGACAGACCGACAGATCCCCACAAGGGTAAGTAATCCACACGAGGGTTAGTGTCTTAAAGGCAAATATGTGTGATTTATCTGGACTGATCATTGTTGGCAAATAACACTTCAAGAAGAAACTGCATTGATAGAGGGCTATGATGTATAAAGGGTGATGAGTTTTCGTTTTGACTTGTTTTGAAGTTTTTAACTTTCGAGCTTAAATTAAATATCAAATTATTGGAAATGTTACGTATAAGAATGCCTGTACCTATAGGTTTATACTGTAGGACATACCTGTATTTCAGGACACTGATGACTACCGGGGTGAGCTCAAGACACTTCTCCACGAAATGAGGACACTGATATCAGAGAAAAAGGATAGGAACAACCATGCACGTCCTTCCTTACACCGTCGTTATAACTCGGCCAACGTACCAGTTCAGACAAACATTCCTGCAGGACATTACAGGTAATAAGGGACTTCTTACTCTATTTATCAATAAAATATTGTTGTGCTAAAACTCAGATTCATTGCTCAATCTACTATTTGTTCAGGTGATAGGAACCTGAAAGTAATAAATAGCATATTATAGTGAAGCCTGTGTTTACCAACATAAAGCTGTCATGGCTAGGCTACGACAAACAAGATTACTAGGCTACGACAGACAAGATGGCTAGGCTACGACAGACACGATGGCTAGGCTACGACGGAAAAGATTACTAGGCTACGACAGTCAAGATGGCTAGGCTACGACAGACACGATGGCTAGGCTACGACGGAAAAGATTACTAGGCTACGACAGTCAAGATTACTAGGCTACGACAGACAATATGGCTAGGCTACGACAGACAAGATTGCTAGGCTACGACAGACAAGATGGCTAGGCTAAGACAGGCAAGATGACTAGGCTACGACAGAAAAGATGGCTAGGCTACGACAGACAATATTACTAGGCTACGACAGTCAAGATGGCTAGGCTACGACAGACAATATTACTAGGCTACGACAGTCAAGATGGCTAGGCTACGACAGACAAAATGCCTTGGCTACGACAGACAAGATGACTAGGCTATGACAGACAAGATGCCTAGGCTACGACAGACAAGATGGCTAGGATACGACAGACAAGATTACTAGGCTACTACAGACAAGATGGCTAGGCTACGACAGGCAAGATGGCTAGGCTACGACAGACAATATTACTAGGCTACGACAGTCAAGATTACTAGGCTACGACAGGCAAGATTACTAGGCTACGACAGACAAGATGGCAAGGCTACGACAGGCAAGATGACTAGGCTACGACAGACAAGATGGCTAGGCTACGACAGGGAAGATGACTAGGCTACAACAGACAAGATGGCTAGGCTACGACAGACAAGACAACTAGGCTACGACAGACAAGATGGCTAGGCTACGACAGGCAAGATGACTAGGCTACGACAGACAAGATGGCTAGGCTACGACAGACAAGATGGCTAGGCTACGACAGACAAGATGACTAGGCTACGACAGACAAGATGGCTAGGCTACGACAGACAAGATGACTAGGCTACGACAGACAAGATGACTAGGCTATGACAGACAAGATGCCTAGGCTACGATAGACAAGAAGACTAGGCTACGACAGACAAGATGACTAGGCTACGACATGGTACTTCAGGTGGTGTTTGAGTGGCTCCATCTCCTGTATATGGGCTCCATCTTTGTATTAACTCAGCTGTTACAAGACTGCAAGACCTTGAAGTGAACCAAACAAATTCATTGCTTGTATATAGCTTACTGTTCAGGTGAAAGGTTTTTTCATATCAATTAAAAAGGAAAGTTCATTGTCAATTGATTTTTCTGATGATGTTAATCCTTTCGGTACATTTCAGCAAGGGACATTCTACATTATATAGTTGTTTTTCTTTCCATGATTCTAAGTCGTTTTTGCAATTATAAGAGTAATTGTTAGATTTCTATTATTCTCCAATTAATATTCAATATTAACTGAATGTAGATATGTATCATAGAAGCTGTGTCATATTTGTACAAGGATACTTATAACAGTTGGAGCTTACATTTGTCTTTCTCTGTAGGCTGTATTCATCCTCAGAAACTGAGGAGTACCATTCTGATAACGAAGTGGACAGGACCCTCAACGGGTCAAGGTCACGGTCAAAGTTCGACTACTCCGGCATGTCATCAATGAAAGGTGAGTGATCAGCTGTAATAGGTCATGGTCAGACACAGACTGAATCAGCACACTGGGAGGGTGCATGGTCAAACAGACTGAATCAGCACACTGGGAAGGGGTTGGAGGTCAAGGTAGACATTATAGCTGGAGTCAGGTTTGGTTGACATACTAAGTAGAACTAGGTTAACTTGAAGTAAAATAAGTGAAGCATCCCACCTAACTAAACTAATCATGTGGTTATCACCTACGTAATATAGGTGACTGTATGAAGTCTGAACACCTAAACGACTTGACTGTTGGTATGGAACCTTTGTTATGGACCTGCGGTGCTACCCTGGTACTCTATTACATGTACCTATGACTCTGTGTTGTTATTTCAGGATCAAGGTCGAGGTCACTGTCACCTGTCCATCAATATCAGAGACGGCACAGTTTAGACACAACGGCAGTAACAAGGTCACCTCACAGTTATATCTCAAGGTCACCTGAATTCATGAGGAAGTCAGGATCCTCACGACTTGGAACGTATGGCAACGGTGAGTATATAAATGTGTAGTCTTAACAATATCAAAGGAAAATGGATTCTCCATATTTGTTTGCAGAAAAGTTGTATCTATAACCAGAAGATTTCTGTACTTGCTTCCTATTCTGCAGTGGCTACAAGGAGAACAAATTCTATTTCATTTCCAAATATGTTTCCGGAGAAATGATACATTACAGTGTTTCTTTGAAGGTCTTTGAAGTGAGCATTAGCAATTTTAATTTCAAAAACATGCATCACCAGTCAAAAGATATTGAAGAGTTAAGATAAAAACAGCTTAGGATAAGAAACATTTCATTTAAAGTGTAATGTAAGAAATTTGATTTAAAAAGATGGGCATTGTTTAAACTGCATGTGTTGTGTTGATGGTCAGTGTGGTGTTACCATGACATGTACATTGCATGTATTGAGCATGTCGTTTGATTGGTCAGTCTAAGTGCTTTATAAAATAAAATGTGAATAGATCACATAACAGCATGTTTGTGACTAGACAAGTTTTCTGTCTTTTCCTATAAAGATGTTTGGCTGCATCACAATACAGGTGTGTTATTACATGGAGGTGAAAGATTAATCAGGATTTCTAATGGAAATAAAGTTATAACAGAACATAATATATTTGATAAAGAGATACCTTTTTGTTGTATTCAATGGTTGAAACGGATCACTTATGAATATTTAAAATAAATGACAGGTATATAAATGGTTTAATTTATGATTAGGTATTTTTTTCTGTTAAATGCTGCTATAGTATGTAATAAGACCCTAACACAGTATTAATGCAGCCTCATGTTTACTCAGCTTTATAAATTTGAGTGTGTTTTATACCAGACCTGAGCCAGGAAACTGAGTCATTGGCTCACCAGGACAACGAGGTCAAACCAGGTACGACCTTTACTGAACTATTAACGCTGTGTGTGTCTAGAAAGCTTGGTGTGGTGGTGTGGGGGTTGTAGTGGTGTGGTTTGCATGGCACAATTATGTCTTTAAATTCTCTCTTACATATTAACTTTATATTCTACTTGTGATATTTACGATTCATGTGACTTTGACTTTTTTCTGTTTATCAGAAAGGATGAATAAAAGTATGGTGTCCAGCCATGTGGCTGTTATACTTTCCTGAAAGCTAATACTTAGCAGCACTGATAGTAATATAACATTGTGACAACCCAGTATTACGTTCCAATAATACAAGTAATCAATTGATTGACTTTGTCTGAAATAATTACAAAAATTCTTCCTTCCTATGGTAATAACAGTTGTTCTTTTCACACATTAACTTCCTTTTTGGTCAGATATTGAAATGATGTTGAATGTAACAAAGTATAGGGTGGCATTCTGTTTAATTAATCTCAACCGATAAACATAAACTTTGTGTTGGTCACGGCAAGGAATCGTGTGTATAATGTTTAGACAGTGTTGTTAACAGTCTCAGGTCACAGCAAGGAATCGTGTGTGTAATGTTTAGACAGTGTTGTTAACAGTCTCAGGTCAGGACAAAGAGTCATGTGTATAATGTTTAGACAGTGTTGTTAACAGTCTCAGGTCACGGCAAAGGGTCAAACGATTGTTCGGACTGTTATAACTGATTCACAAAGGTCATTAACAAGGTCAAAGGTGAGGTCTTTGTACGAACCACGTATCAGTGAGATGTTTTTATGGACCACGTATCAGTTCTGATTAGCACAGTATTTTGTTTTGGTTTGTTTTGAGTTTCATTGGTGACTGAATGGTTTGTTGTGTATTACTCTCAGTTCCGTACCCTTGTTTTGAGTTTCATTGGTGTACTATA